TGGGGAGAAAATTATGAGAGGTTTATTTGAGGAAAAAGGTCTGATTTGAATTCAAATATGGAAGAGAAATCTGATGGTTTATTTAAGGGTAATTAGGTTGTATTATATTTTTTATGTAAAATATTTTCTACTGTAGTTTTTTTTCTTGTAAGTTTCCTGACGGTGTCTAGGGTTTGTTGGAGAGCTGGTCTACCTCTCGAATAGTATATTACTTGTAATTTTCTTTCTTGTTAAAGAAATAATAAAAAATCAATCACTATCTTCAAGTTCCAATAGTTTTCTACATGTTCTCGTGTTATTTTTACTTTCAAGACACATCACATTCTTGGTAGGAGAATCCTATTGCTTTGGAAAAAAACTAAGATTTATCTAATTGAATTTTTTTAATTGGTTCCCAAACTATTGGGCATGGTTCTATTTTTAATATTTGTTATGAGTTGGAACAATTATGGGAGTTCTATGCTATTTTGGATATAGAAAACTACTTATAAAATTCTTAGAGGGTGAAAAATAATGTTTAAACAATTGCCAAATGCTTTTGCAGCTAAATGCCCACAGTATTGGGATCAAAAGGTGTCTACCCCAGCAAAATAGGGACTTAAAAATAAATAATTATATTGGTCATTTATTTATTTTAATTAAGTTTAAAAATATTTGATGACAATAAAATAATAATCATATTTTTAAATTATTTTGAAAAAATTAATTGTGTTTTTAAGTTTCATTATATTCTGAGTTCAAAATCTCTCTAAACTGATTTTTTTGAGCAAGTATAGATAAACAACTAAAATTTGTAGCATGTTTAGTTAAAGAATAATATTATATTCTCTACTAGGGCTACTAAAAAGTCAATTTCAAATGGCTTTGGCTCAACTTAGAATCAGATTTTTATAACACATCAGCTCAAAATTAAATTTTTTTTCTATTAATTCGATTGCATGTTGACTCAATTTTGATTTTTACTTAATCTATATAAATATGCATATTATACATATTATATATTCCGCATAAATACTTATTTTGAGTTAATTTTATCTATATTTGATCGGATTAGGTCAACATGAAATCAAATTCAAGTATAGTATAAAGGTTGAAATCGTCTCTAATAAAGTCAAAATTAAAGAAATTTTTGAGTTTTTTAAATAGCCATGTTTATTATAATCTATTCCACTTTTTACATCATTTATGTTCTTTTCTCATTTACTAGATTTATGTCCTTGCATCTATTGTTCTTTTATCTTTGATTCATCCTCAATCTTCAAGAAATATTACTCTAGGTCTTTTATTATTATTTCATAATTTTGATTAATTGTTTTCAAGGGTTCATGCTTTTTTGTTCAACACTTGAAGTTATTCTCATAACATTTTATTGTTATGTTATCATCATCAAATACTAACTCCTTAACATTTGAAGTATTTCTCTTTTGAACTCAAAGCAAGATACATGCTTCATTACTTGATGCATTATGGTATAGCGCTCATCTAGTCAAGCCTTATTAATTTCCCATGTGTGGGAGGTGTGTGATGCTATGGACTCACATTAACTTTCTTGGGTATGAGCCAATAGTTCAACCCAAGTCTAGGTCTAAAGCTATTTGGGGCCTATTTTGGCTCCATTTTAGCATGTTTAGATTGCAATTCGTTATTGCTTTGCATAGGCTTAGTTTGGGATAACTTTCTTACTACTTTCTATATCAGTTTGTCTGTACAAAAGTTTCTTGTTCAAGAAATTTTTATACTAAAAAGCTGCTTTTGATAGCAGTAAGAAAATTATTCGAAAAAAAACCTTAAATTAAGTTTTGTTGTTTTTTCTCACATAAAATTGATAAATGAAGATTATTTGGGTCTAAATCATATAAATAATTTGAATCCAAGCAAAATCTAAGAAACAATGAATTGTTGGAATCTTGATAAAAAAAATGACTTGGTTTGTCCCCAAGGGAATTATTTCTTAATGTGTAGTGAGTCGTTGATATTGGTGAGGTTCACTTGAATCATAAATTTTTGTTAGCCCTGAAGTAAATAAAAAAGGTTACCTATAATACAAAGACATTCTTGATTTTGTTGATAAAAATGCCCTAAAATTAAAGGCAACCTGTTGGGTTGATAAAGCACAACTTTTGACATGAAAATTACATCTCAATGAAATTCAAAAGAGCTAACATAGTGCTCAATTTTATTTGTTTGGCTAAATTGGAGACTAGACAGGCTCATAATGATGAGAAAATCCTTAGTTTGTTTAAGGTACGTATTTTCTCAAACTGTTTGAGATGGGCCCAAATGAACCTAAACTAGTCAAATTGACTTGTTTGAAGTGAGCCGATGGGTCTAGTCTAATCTAGCCGCTTCTCACTCTAATGTAACTATAAGCTAACCATGATGAAGGAATTTCAATTATTTCTACTATAAAAAAAATTAGGTGCCAAACCAATTGACCCCTCGAGTTCACCCCACCATGATAAATATGCCTATGAACTCCATTTGCATTCATGAGTGCTCTTTTCTTTTTAGTTCATCCAAGAATATCCAAATTTCCCCAAGTCGCATAGTCTTCAATACTTCAGCATTTTATTGTGTTGATCTTTTGCTTTTGATGCATCCATTTAAGAGATGCAAAACTTTTTAAATTGTTCGTGTTAATTCATTCATTGAAATTTTAATTCATCAGCATCGATGTGCTTTTGACATCATTGACTATAATGTGGTAGTCTTACATCATCGATTTGAGATGCTTTAAGTGTTGCCCTCCAGCGGCCCCAAATATATTGTTCAAACCTCTACTAGCCTAAGAATAGCTACTTCTCAATTGAAATTTGATGAAAGGATGTTGTAATCTTTATCATCCTTTTAAGTATAATTATTAAGAATAATTTAAATGAAAACTAAAATATATTGTCATAAATATATAAATATTGCTCTTTTTAATTCATTTAGTTGATTTTTTCTAACTTCAAAAGGATCTTGAGAAATTCCTTACCATCATCAATTGACTAGAGACTACATAGTATTCCCTGCCATCTAGCTGACTTTCATGCATTCATGGACCAGATTTGTCTCATTTGAATAATCAATGCACTTGCATTTGTGGATCAAATGTGGCTTTTTAGTACTCTATGTTGCTTCTTCATATGATGCTCGTACTCTCTATCAACAAAATTTTCAATCATAAAAATTAAAAAGGGAATTACTATTCATTGCAACCATTTAAAAGTTAGGCAACATTCAAGATTATAACAAGCAATGCAATATAATTTGTGTTGATTCAAATTTTCTTTTCTCCTTGATTGTGTTTGCACATATTTCCAAAACTAAGGAACATAAGACTCTTTCATCTTATAAGCTGCATAAATATCTTCTATCATGCAACAATATTCAGTTTACACTGCTTGTTAGTGAATATTATATTTCATTTAGTCTTTGAATATGAATATATAAATTTTTCACTTCTTTTTATGAGTATATAAATTAAATTCTTTTCTTTCTTATATTACTAATGAATACTTTGATGCTGCTTAATCCATTGTTGCTTTGCTTATTTTGTGTGCTCTATTTTCTTTCAACTGAAGGATTCAATCCTAAGGTTGCTGCTAGACCATATAAGCCTCTTCCTATAATAATGAAATAATTTACACTAATTCAAGGAAGAATCTTTTTCATTTGATAGTAATGGCACAATTGTTTGGATTATCACCCTGGGTATTTATCAAGTGAGGAAACTTTTCCATTTATTGACGATAGAAGGAAGGCATTTACTCATATGCAACTTCACTAATGATGTAATTTTGTCATCTCCTTTTAAGAGAAAATACAATTTTACATGAGGTTAATAGTAGAGATGTTTAGATAATCAATGATGGAGTATAGAAATCATATTGATTTATGTCAATTTGGGTGTATTTAAAATACATTCATTTTAGAAATGCAATGTATTTTAATTTTCAATTGTTATTTGATTGGTTGAAAATCAAATAAAGTAAAATTAAATTTTTTTTATTAGAATTTATAAAGTAAAATAATTAATTTTATATAGAGTGTTAAACATAGTTGTTGCCATCAGAGTTTTAAACATAGTGCCATCATTATTCATTAGTAATAACTATGTTTAACACTCTCAGTTCTAGAAAATATTATTAGGTCCGGACACCTGACGTAGCTCTACATCCGGATGCCAATAATATGTCGCCACGTACTCTTAGTCTTTACCACGCGGCCCGATGACCCGGACCCGGTATTGCTATGTATTGGCTGATTTGTGTATTGCTAGGTATTGCTCGGTATTGCTCGGCAATAATGATAAATACCACTCCGTTAAGTCCAATACCTAGAAATACCCCGATTTTCTAGGTATTGCTCGATATTGCTAGGTATTGCTCAGTATTGCTAGGTATAGGCCTTGAAAAAGCGACATTTCTCATTATTGTCAAGCAATACCGAGCAATACCTAGCAATTCCCAAACATAGCAATATCGGGTTCCGGTCTGGGTCGGGTCGTCGGGCCAGGTGTCCGGACCTAATAATTTTTTCAGTTCTAGGTTGGCGTTTGTGTGAGTTTGGTGCCATGGGCGGCTTATTAATGGTGAACAATAGTTTTAGGGCACAGGTTGGATAACAATGATCCATTTGAAATTTCACTGATTTTAAAAATTTTGTAATACATAAAAAATGGGTGGCTTTTGAGGATTTCAAATCCCTTAAAAGTGCCTTTACATTTATTTTATTTAATAAAAAGTCCATATATTCATTTTATTCTACACATCTAATGCTTCCAACCAAATAGCCTCTCAATATATGAACTGTAATATTGCTTGGGTAATAATATCCTCATCAAACTCTAACATAAAATAATATTGCAATTTTTTAATAGAAACAAACTACCGAAACCAGCTTGTTACAATTCGTTTGACAATTTCAATGAAGAAATAAAATGATTTATACATATATGTACGTATCTATCACATTTTGTGCACTTTCCTATGCTGCTTGAACTGTCACAGTACATGTAAACCTTTGAAGGGTTAGACTTAGGCTTATTATAATACTCAATATAAAATTTAGTACCATATGATGTTCTAGTAACAGGTTTAACTACAAAACATAGGTAACAACTTAAATTTTAACTGAAGCTAGAACAGAGAACAAATATAAAAACAAAACAAGACTATAAAGGCATTAGGTTTCTAATCAACGAAAAAAAAAAAAAGGAATTTAAAGCTTAGGATTTTAGTTAGGGCATCTCCAACTGAAAATCTCATTTTTCACTCCAAAATGTCGTGAAACTAAAAAATGTCGTGATTCATCTCCAATCGAACTCCATTTTGCCCCCTTTTGCGAAGGCAACTGTCGTTCTCTTCTCTCACGCGTTTCTTCACCAAGTTCGGCCGAGACTAAAAATGGCGAAGATAAACAATGCAACGCCAATATTGGCGTCCCACTGTTCACCCGCAAGCAAATAACAGAAGTTTTACTGTTCGGCTGGAACTCGCGAGCAACTGTTTGGAGTTCGGTTGGAGATGCTCTTAGTTGAAGATAGCGTCCTCCTCTTCAGCCACATTTTCCTCCTTGCCCACCCTCACTACCCAAACCATCAATCCACCGCTTAGAAAACATAGGATTAATGCAGACCATTGAGCTAGATGAAGACACTAGTGATCCCTCCCCACTGTCATTTTCGGACTCCAAATTACTTGTTGAGGAAGAACTTCCCACAACAACTGCTTTGCCCTTATCCACTTGTTCAGTTTCTCCCCAGCTCTGCCTACTCTCTCTATCAATGCTATCATCACTACTGCTTCCACTTTCACTGGAACTGAGAGTGTTAAACATAGTTACATCCTCCTTCCTTGCACTGTGCAATGAATGGCTCCTGTCCTTGCCATCAGATAATGGCAAAATTGATCCTTGTTGCGAAATGACGGTGTCACGGCCCAAACTGTAGGACGTCGATAGCTTTCGTTCGATCCCCTTCTTTATATTAACCATCTCTCCCAATTGGTCCAGATTTTCATGGGCGTCTGTGTCTTCCTCTTCCCTTTGCTCCAGCTTACATATCATCCTTCCAAGTGTCTTCCTTTTATGGTGTAATGATCTCTAATAATCAATTCAAGTTCCGGGAAAAAAGGAGTTAGATCTTAAATCTGTATAAGTTACATGTAAGCTGAAATGTTTGATCCTTAAACTTACCCTTTTGTCAAGGAACATCGCGAGACCATGCTCTTGGAGCTTTCTCTTCCTCCAAAATACGAAGCAGAAGCGGACAAAGAAAGCTAGCAGAACTAACACTGCAAGCTGAAAGAAGATAAAAGGCAAGATTGCTCCCTCATTGCCTGAGATAAAAGGTGAAGTTAGTTTCTCATAAAACAGCTTAAAGGATATGTTGCACTCTTATTTACCTGTATACATGTTAACCAACTTGGGCTTTGCTTGTGAGCAGGTCCAAGCATTTATTTGGCCTAGTTAAAAGCATAAAGATGTCAAATAAAAAGTATAAGTAATAGAAAGTAATGTAGAATTTGATTTACTGAATGCATTCATGATCATAGGATCATTCATGATCACAGGATCTTACTCATGGTGTGGCATGGCAAAGTATTGCCAGTTCCTGCATTAAAAACAAAAAAAAATATATTCAAGTCGTCAAATGCAATATTTGAAAGGACCTAATTTGGAATGTTGACATCGCTAAAATCATAGAAATTTACATATTATATACATTTTTTACCATCTTAAAAGAGGAGAATGATGGTTATTGAAGAATTTTAGAAGCTTAACTTAAAGGTAACAGAAACAAAACTCAACTTGAAGAAGATAGGAAGGTGAGAAAGATCCTTTCATCTACTGTAAAATAGCGTAGATCACTATTGGACAGAAAATTAGTCAGTTCACCTGAAAGACAATGAAGATAAGATGGTATCAAATCCTAGCATTATTTAAATATGTGATTAAAAATATAAGTAGCATTTACCGGGATAATTTCCAGTCCAATAAACAGTCCCTGTAGCAGGAGTCAACATTGTGAGCACAAGGCTTGCTGGCTTCATTGCTGAAATGTAGGTACAATTCCCAATATCACGGATTGACTTTGCTATCACCCTCGTTTGCAGTACATAAATAGCAAATCCTGAGCAGTCTAGAACTGGACTGGTTTGGATGATTGAATCAATTGCAGTTGACTTAAGGAGCTGCTTCACTTCACCAGTAGGTGAGAAGGAGTACAAATAACCATCCAGTGAGCCAATAGATAACCAGCCTTGCAAATTATTTGGATAGAAATTTAGAAATTCTAACTTTTGAGTTGAAAGCATGAAGTTAATAAATTTCATGATTGCATCTATGCATGAAATACCCAATGGTTAGTTACCATTTGAATCCACCACTGGCAAGCTCTGCTCTGTACCCAAAGGACCAAAACTCTGTTGCCACAAAATATTTCCAGAATAAACATCAAGCGCAATCACTGAAGCCTTTCTAGGAAATATCACGTATAGAAGACCATTATTTCCGGGTATACTTGTCATAAACTTGTCAATGGAGCTGAAATCATGGACCCATCTAAAGTGGTGAGTCCGCATATATAAGGAATACAGCTGTCCCTCGGTGTTGAGGATCTGCAAGTGCCCAAAATAATTGGAACTCATTGAACAACATCTCTGATTAGAATTAATGAAATTCTAGATGCTTGTTATATTTTTCCAATGAAGTGGAGAAGCATAAATGGTAAATTTGTAACCATTTGCATTTTCAAACAAAAGAAGAAAGCATGTTAGAGTGCATGCTTCTGACTAGTAGCGGATGTAATAATTTAAAATCAATATTTAGGAACCTGCTTATTGCATCAACTAAAAGAATGATAAATTTAACAAAATCTAATTTTGCAACCTCTCTGTATAGAACCTTTGACATATTGTGTGGCAAGACAAAAACTTTACCAAGCTGCGAAAACCTCAGCAATAAATGTATCCTATTTGCATGATTCATTTTAATGATAGACTTGACATTTTGCATTTCCCTTCACAAAATAAACCTAACAATGCCTAATTTTCAAACACCCACAGCTAATTTTTAATACTGTTGTAATTAACTACATGTCCAGAGATGACTCTAATTAAATATTTTAACTTTGATTAACAAGATTAAATGTTCAGAGATTAATCAAAAATTAGATATACTAAAGAAAGAAAATTAAGGGAGATAGTGACTTTACGTAGAGGGTTCCCTCGCATTGGTCAACAACAGGCGTTGAACAAAAATAACAATCCCTTGAGTTTTCTTTGCAACCCTGGCGATAACCAAATCGATAAAGAATAGGACCAGCACTCCATAATAACTTCCCATGAAATGAGAGTGCAAAGAGTCCCCGATTCTTAATAGTCAAAAATATGGAAGCATACAATATACTTATTGAAAGACCAATAATCTCTCCTGATCCTCCAATGGTTGAATTTGGCCCAAAAATGACTTCTGATGTAAACTTTAAGTTGCCAATATTTGAAGGTGTGACCTTCAAAATCCTGTCCTCAGCAATCAAATAGATCTAACAAGAATGGAAAAGAATGTAATTCAGTTAATTCAAAAATCTGCAAAGATGGATAATCACTTAACCAAACAAATAAAAAGAAGAATCATAATTTTGATCATTGGAAATGGATCACATAGAATTTCTAGTACATGATGCACCCTCCAAAGTGGAGATTAATAATAATAATAATAATAATAATAATAATAATATATATATATATATATATATACACTTGCATTGCAGATAAACTATTTTCGTGTTTCACCTCAATGTAGAGTTTGAAGCAACCAAAATATTGCTCTATGACATCCCTCAAATATATCACACTTTATAGTTAATACAAAGTGGAAATATCTAGTATCACAGAGGGATAGCATATGTTAAAATTGCTATAGAAATGATCCAAAAGAAAGGTTTATGAAGAGGTAATAAATTCAATAAATAAAAACCTTTCCTAATAGTTGTTGCATTGTTAAAAATAGTTGAAGGATTGTTTTACTAATACAACACATTAGTTTGCGTAGTTCCTCCTGTTGTATGCAAAACCCCATTTTTTGTGTATTACAAATTTATCAAAATCAGTGAAATTCCAAATGAATCATTGTACCAAAGTCATGCCTTAAAATTGTGTATTTAGCATCCATGAACTGCCCACGACACCACTGCCATCTTTGTCCCCCACCTTTTTTCTTTAATTTAATTTTTTGGCGACACCAACCCACACAAACACTATCCTAGGCTCCCTCTGTAATATTCAACCTCCCGCCATCATAATTTCTAAACCAGCCTACCTTGCCACTGTCATCCCTGTCAACAACCTCAAAATCGTGTTGTCACCATCCCAGCAAAATAAGAGAGGAGAATAGAGATATTATTTAATGTATCCTAATAAAAAAAATTATTTTATTTTATTTTATTTTAAACCAACCAAATAACTAGTGAAAACAAAAATACATTGCATTTCTAAAATGAATGGATTTTAAATAAATCCAACCAAACAACCACCCGGTATAAATTAGCACGACCTCTAGTCTCCATCATCGATTATATAATATCTCTACTATTAACCACAAAAAAGGTAATAAAATTGTATTATTCTTAAAAGGAGATGACAGAATATCATTAATCCTATACAAAACTGCATCATGAGCAAAGTCGCATATGAGTAAAAATACCTTCCCTCTATCATCAACAACTGGAGAAATTTCAGCATTTGATAAATAACCTAGGGGGATAATCCAGACAACTGTGCCATTACTATCAAATGAAAAAAGATGTTTTCCTGAGCAAGTGTAAATTCTTCCATCATCTGTGATAAGAGGCTTATATAGTCTAGCAGCGACCTTAGGATTAGATCCTTCAGCTGAAAAAAAATGGAGCACACCAAGTACACAAATCAGCAATGGATTAACCAGAATTAAACTATTCAATAACTACACATGAAAGAAAAGAACTTAATTTTAATTACTAATAAAAAGGTGTGAAAATTTCACATAATCATATTCAAAGACTTAATGAAATATAATATTCACTATAAATAGTGTAAACTAAAAATTGTTTCATGATGGAAGATAATTATGGAGTTCTTAAGATACCAGATCAGTCATATGTTACTTAGCTCTATGTGCAAGCACAATCAAGGAGAATAGGAATTTCAAATCAGCACAAATTATAATGCATTGCTCGTTGTAATCTTGAATGTCACCTAGCTTTCGGATGGTGGCAATGAGTAGTACATCCTTTGTTATTTGTTATGATGGAAAAGCTTGTCGGTAGATAGCACGAGCACCATACGAAGGAGCAATATAGTGTGCTAAAGAACCAAGTTTGATCCACAAATGCAAGTGCATTAATTACTCAAATGAGACAGCAATATTTAGACCATGAATGTTTGTGTGACGGTCACCTAGATGCCATGGAATAATAAAAAGTACCCTCTAGTCCATTGATAATGATAATGAAATTCTCTAGATCCATTTGAAGATATAGAAAATTAACCAAATAAATTGAAAATGAGCCATATTTATATAATTATGGCAAGCTATTTTATTATTCATCTAAATTATTCTTAATAATTATCCTTAAAAAAGGATGATGGAGATTACATACTCCTTTCATCAAATTTCAATTGAACAGTAGCTATTTTAGGCTAGTAAAGGTTGTTTGAACAATATATAAGGGGAAAATGATAGACAACACTAAAAGCATCTCAAATCAATGGCCGCATCATAGTCAATGATGTCGAAAACACATCAATGGTGACGAATCAAATTTTTAAGAAATGAATTGACATGAACAATTTGAAAAGATTCGCATTTGTTGAATGAATGTATCAAAAGCAAATATTAACACAATAAAATGATGAAGCATTGAAGGCAATGTGACCTAGGGAAATTTTGATCTTCTTGAATGAACTAAAAAGAAAAGAGCACTCACCAATGCAATTGGAGGTCATAGATATGTCTATCATTGTGAGGTGAAGTCAAGGGGTCAATTTGTTTGAAACCTAATTTTTATAGTAGCAAGAACAGCTCCACCACCACCAAATTGAGCATCCATCCTCATAATTAGCTTATAGTTACATTAGAGGGAGAATCAGCTAGGTCATACAAAACCCATCAGCTCACTTCAAACTAATCAATTTTACTAGTTTAGGTATGTTGGAGTCATCTCAAGCCGTTTGAACAACTACATACTAGATAATATCCAAGGGTCTTATGAGTTTGTCTAGTCTCCAATTAAGCCAAACAAATAAACTTGAGCACTATTTTAGCTCTTTTGAGTTTCCTTGAGATGTAGTTTCATGCCAAATGTTGTGCTTTATCAACTGAACATGTTGCCTTTTATTTTAGGGCATTTTTATCAACAAGATCACAAATATATTCACATTATAGGTAGCATTTTTTATTTACTTCGAGGTTGAAGACAAATTAAAATTCAAGTCACCAACATCAACTGCTCATAATACATTAACAAATGCATGCCTTGGGGACTAGAAACTAAATCATTTTTTTTATCTATATTCCAAAAATTCATTGTTTATTAGATTTAGCTTAGATCCAAATTCTTTATATGCAAGAAATATTCCTTTATCAATTTCATGTGAGATGAAGGAATAAAACTTAAACTAACCCAAGTGATAATAAACTGCAATCTAAACATGCCAAAATGGAGACAAAATAGGTGAAACGGACACAGATGGCCTTAGACCTAAACTTGGGTTGAACCATTGGCTCATAGCCAAAGAAAGTTAATGTGAGTCCATAGCATCACACACCTCCCAAACATGTTCAATTAACAAGGCATGACTAGATGAGTGTTATACCCTAATGCATCAGGTAGTAAAGCATGTGTCTTGCTTTGAGTTCAAAATGAGAATCATTTTCTAGGGAGGAGATGAGCACAAGGTTTCAAAGAAGGGCTGTTGATTTTGTAGGGAAAAGAGAGAAATTCTACCGCAGAGGTGCTGAATTTGAAAGAAGAAGATGAGAATTTGATGAGGGGGTTGGCTATAATCGCCAGAAGGAAGAACGTTACAATAGGGAAGCACCTCCTCTTTGTGGAATGGGTAAATATGATGAATTCAGGGGCAACGAAGGTGACCTGAAGGTGAGGAAACTGAAGATGTCCATCTTCGAGCGAGAGGATAGCCACGGTTGGATCTACGAGGTGGAATGATATTTTTTCGTCTACGGATTGACGGAGGAAGAGAAGCGCACGACGACAGGACTATGTTCGGAGAGGAAGGCACTGGCGTGGTACCAATGGCGTGACATGAGGCAACCCATCAGGAGCTGAAGGGGGTTCAAAGAGTGCTTACTAGAATGTTTCTGAAATGGTAGGGGAGGAGACTTCTATTAGCAATTCTTTACCTTAACATAGGAGGACCGTGGCAGAATTATCGTGACAGGTTCGAGTACTTGGCCAATAGATTGGACCGGCTTTCTGAGACAGTGCTGGAGGGGAACTTTATGAAATGGCTTAAACTAGAGATAGGAGCAGCTGGTAGAGTGATGAGGCCAAGAGACCTGGGGGAGGCCATGGAGCTAGCCCAACTAGTGGAAGATCAAAAGCAGCTAGAGAGAGGGACTAGGGGGAGCAACTGAGGGTGATCGTATAGGATGACCACCACCTTCTTAGCTCCCAAGTGGCCAGTGACAGGGAGTCTTAACAAAGTGCCCAAGGAGGGAACTGGAGGAGGGAGAAATGGGGAAAGTTTCAAAAGGCTACGGTGAATGAGATACAACGGAAAAAGGGAGAAGGGATTGTGTTTTAGATGTGATGAGAAGTACATGCCGAAGCATAAATGTAAGGACCGAACTTTTAAGGTTCTCACCGTCTGTGATGACGAGGAAGCAGGAGGAGGTGGAAGCGGGTTAGAGATGGAGGAAGAGGAGAAGTTGCATCTGGATTTGGCAGAAGTCTCCCTAAACTCCGTAGTAGGATTCACCCTGAATCACACTATGAAGGTGAAGGGAGAGATAGCATGCAAAGAGGTGGTAGTGTTAATAGATAGTGGGAAAACCCACAATTTTATATCCACCCAGATTGTTGATCTACTAGGGATGAAATTAATGGATACTGGAGGCTAAATGGGTAGAGGAGTTTGTAGGGGAGTGTAATTGACCATTCAGGGGATATAGGTGAGGGAGAATTTTCTTCCCTTGGAGTTGGTGAGTACAAATGTCAACCTGGGGATGAAATGGCTGCAAACCTTGGGGGAGACCATGATAAATTAGGAAGCATTGAGGATGGAACTGGTAGTGGGGGAAGGAGAATGGTGATTCAGACAATGTGGGTTGTCCAGGGCCGGAGTATCTCTCAAATCCATGATCAAAACCATACAGGAGGTGGGAGGTGGATATATCGTGGAATTGCAATGCTTGGAGAGAGTCAGTATGGGAGAAAAGGGAGACATTCCTCTTGCAGTGCAACCACTCATACAATAGTTCAGTGAGGTGTTCAAGCCACCTCAAGATTTACCACCACCCAGAGAGTAGGAGCATTCAATCCTTTTAAAGTAGGGGGTGTCACAGATTAGTGTAAGACCCTACCATTACTCCTAAATTCAGAAGGATGAAATTGAGAAGCTGATTCAGGAGATTTTGGAAGTGGGGATCATCAGACCAAGTGTGAGTCCCTTCTTTAGTCCAGTCCTACTAGTCAAAAAGAAAAATGGGAGCTGGAGGTTTTGTGTGGATTACAGGACATTGAATAAGGAGATAGTACCTGATAAATTTTCCATATCTGTGATTGATGAGCTCTGGGATGAACTATATGGAGCTGCGATATTCTCCAAACTGGATTTGAAGTCTAGATACTATCAAATCCGCATGAGGGAGGTAGATATCTCAAAGATAGCCTTCAGGACAAACGAGGGGCATTATGAGTTTTTGGTAATGTCTTTTGGGCATTATGAGTTACTTGTGTTCAAACACAAGGTGGATTGACCAAGTATTTCCCTATTTCGGTTGGGTTACATCAAGGATCAGCCTTAAGCCCATATCTTTTTGCTTTAGTCTTGGATGTTCTCACTAGACATTTGCAAGAGGATGACCTTTGATGTCTTTTGGGCTTACCAACGCCCCTGCTACTTTCCAAACACTAATGAACAGAGTGTTCAAGCAGTACCTCCGGAAGTTTGTTCTGTTATTTTTTTGTTGACATATTGGTGTACAGCAAAATTGAGGAGCATCTGGAGCACTTGAAGTTGGTATTGGGAGTCCTAGAGTAACATCAGCTGAGGGCCAACCTGAAGAAGTTTTACTTTGCCTAGACCAGTGTGGAGTATTTAGGTCATATTATGTCTAAGGGGTGGAAGTCGATCCAAGATTGAGGCTATGTTGAGGTGGTCCTTACCTAAGAATCTGATGGAGTTGAGAGGATTCTTAGGATTGACGAGATACTATAGGAGGTTTGTAAAAGGGTACAGCACTATTGCATGGCCACTGCCAAAGAAGCTGAAGAAAGATGGGTTCCTAAGGGGAGAGGCAGCCACAACAATATTTGAGAGACTAAAGAAGACTATGAATACCGTACCAGTCTTAGCATACTTGTTACTGGCGAATGGCGCACCATGGCGCAAAGGTCTTATTTGAGCCATTGCACATAGCGCACGGTGCGACGCGCGTCATTTTGAACATGGCGCAAGTTATAAAATAATTATAAAATAATAAGTATGAATATGAAATATCATTAAACTAAAAGACAAACTATCATAATAACAAGCAAACAATGACAATACAAATAAATAACAATCCAACATAATTTCAAGTCCAACAAGTAGTCAATCTTCATACACTAAAATATAATTAAATGAAAGCAAATAGCATTAAGAAAATAAAAATATGCAATCTAACATTTATCTTAACACTTTTAATATATTTTAAAATTAAAAAATATATTATCTTAAAAATAAAAAAATATATATATATAAAAAAAAAATTATAATTACATTAAAAAAAATTAAACAAATGGCGTGCGCTATTTTGCGTCATACGCCATGCGCCATGGCGCGCATGTGGCGCAAATAGCGCGCCATTTTGAACGCCTGCGTCGCGCCATATACATGGCGCCGTAGGTGCGCCGCGCCGCGCATTATTTTACACCATTGACATCTATGAGTCTTAGCTTGACCGGACTTCACCAAAGCTTTCATAGTGGAGATAGATGCCTCAAGATACGGACTGGGGGTAGTACTCGTGCAGAATCGTCGACCCATTGCCGGGTATTGACAGCAAGAGCCAGGCTGAAATCAGTCTATAAGAGGGGTTGATGGACATCGTTTTAGCCATCTAGAAGTGGCGACCCTACCTGTTAAGTAGACATTTCATTGTCAAAACAGACAAGAGGAGCCTGAAGTACTTGTTAGAGCAGCAGATGGTGGCGGAAGAGCATGAATGATGGTTGTCCAAATTATTGCGATATGATTTCAAAATCTAGTACAGGTTAGGAGGGGTGAACAAGGCAGCAAATGCCTTGTCCAGGTGTATGGGGGAGCTGCAGGCAGTATCGATTCCTTTGATGCTGTATTGGGAGGCCATTAGGGAGAAGAGCGCTAGAGATGAGGAGTTGGGAAAGATCAGGATAGATTTATCGAGGGAAGAGGGTAGCCATCATGGGTACTCATTGGAGGGGGGCAAACTGCTATATCAGGGGAGGTTTGTGATGCCCCGGACCTCAATCCACATCCCAAACTTTCTCTAAGAGTTTCATGAAAGCATTGATGGGGGCCATTCAGGGGTGCAGAAAACATACAGGAGGTTAGCCTCGGAGATTTATCGGAAGGAGATGCATAGAGATGTAGAGGAGATGGTGACCAAGTGTGATATCTATCAGAGGAACAAATACCCGGCTATGTCGACAGGAGGACTACTACAGCCGTTGGCTTTACCGGGACGAGTATGGGAGGAGATATCCACGGACTTCATAGATGGTTTGTCCCGTTCAGAGCATTTCACAATGATTCTAGTGGTGGTAGATAGGTTAAGGAAGTATACTCATTTCATTCCCCTCCAACATCCTTACAAATAGGTGACAATGGCTTCATCTTTTATTAAAGAGGTGGTCAGATTACATGGAGTGCCAGAGACGACAATATAAGATAGAGATAAGGTGTTCCTCAGTCATTTTTAAAGTGAGTTGTTTAGATTATAAGGGGAAATTATGAAGAGGAGCACCACCTACCACTTATAGACAGATGACCAAACAGAAGTGGTCAATAGAAGCTTGGAGACCTACCTGAGTTACTTTATGTAGGAGGCACTCAAGCTATGGGCGAAGTGGCTATCATGGGTTGAGTACTGGTATAACACCTCTTATCATTCTGCTTCTCAGATGACCCCATTCAAGGTATTGTATGGAAGAGATCCACCTCACTTGATGCACTTTGAGAGTAACAATACTCCAGTTTTTTTAATGGAGTACTTGGAAAAAAGGGACAGAGTGCTAGAAGAGTTAAAGAGGCATCTGCTGTGAGCCCAACAAATTATGAAGAAACAAGCTGATGGGCATAGGAAGGATGTCCAGTTCGACGTAGGGGCGAGGGTGTTCCCGAAGCTCCGACCATACAGGCAGATGACAGTCGCCAATAAGAGGAATGAGAAGCTTGGCCCAAGGTACTTTGGACCTTATGAGGTATTGGAGAAAATTGGAGCGGTAGCATATCGCCTAAAATTACCACCAACAGCGACTATACATCCAATTTTTCATGTATCCCAGTTAAGAAGGGTCATTGGAAATTATACAGCCAGCCCAGAGTTACCGGTGACTTACTAAGAATTTAAAGGTGATGGGAATTCCTCACCTTGAATTAGTTCCTAGATGTTCTTACCTTCTAGTAATTGTAATGACTTACTAATAGGAATGCCTAGCTGGGCCCGGTGGTACCAACTTGTGTAAAGATGTTTTGGTAAATTGAAAATAACCTCTAGAACTCTTAGAGTTCATGGGGGTTCACTAGAAAGAAAATGGAGCTAAAGATGTGCTAATCAAGTGGAAAAATCTTCCGGACTATGATGCCACGTGAGAACCCAATGAGAGGGTGAAACATCAGTTTTCCAATTTCCACCTTGAGGACAACATGGTTCTTTAGGAAGGGGATATTGTTACGGTTCAGCCGAAACCAGCCTAGGAGGGGCCGATTCGGACTTCTAGGAGGCGGGCTAAGCTGCCTCCTTTGGTTCCCACTGCCTAAACAAGAGCCCCCCCCCCCTCCTAGGGCGGCAATTAGAGAGAGAGAGTGCGATTTAAGCATGAGGAGGTCAATTTGAATTTGTTTTTTATTATGAAGCTTGTATTAGGAGATATTTAAAAGCATGAGAAGCTAGGTTTAGGGGGGATGCTTGGATTTGTTTTCTCTTGTAGTTCCTTGGCGTCTTGGGCTCTAGATTCCTTAACTAGAGATTGGGAGGGAACGATCCTCCTGTCAAATTGAGGATCGCTTGTATCATGATTTGTGTTTGTTTGGCTTTGATTTCCTTATTGTAATTCATCAATTTTAGGCTGATTTCACACAGATTTTTGCATTATTCGCGTTGTTTTCACCAACTAGTGATAGGTTTGCTTGCAAACTCAAGTATTTCCTATTGGGTTACTTGAGAACTCAAGTATTTCCTATCAAAAGCATGAGCCCTTTAAAAACATTAATCAATGTTATGAAATAATAACAAAATCTTGAGTATTATTTCTTAAGGATGGAGAGGATGAATCCAAGAGAACAAAAGAAGAGATGCGGAGATATAAATCTAGTAAATGACAAAAGAGCATAGATGACGAAAAACGTGGAATAGGTGATAATAAATATTGTTATTTAAATTACTCGAAACACAAAAATCACTTCAATTTTGACTCGATTAAAGATAATTTCAAACTCCATACTATACTTAAAGATGATTTCAAGTTGGCCCAATCCGATAGAATGTCGATCAAGTTAACTCAAAATGAGTAGTTATGTGGAATATATAATATGCATATTTATATAGATTAATTAAAAATTAACTTTGTGTCAACATGAAAATGAATTATTTTGATCAAGTCAACTCAAATAGAAATAATTTTAATTTCGAGCAAATGTGGGATTAAAAAATTAAATTCTAAGTTTAGCCAAAGTCATTTGGACTTGACTTTTTATTAGCCTGAGAATTGAAGATAATATCACCCCTAAACTAAACATACTACAAAATTAAATTGTTTAATTATACTTGCTTAAAATAATCAATTTAGTGAAATTTTTTTAACTTAGAATGTAATGAAACTTTAAAACACAAGTATTTTTTTCAAAATAATTTAAAAATACGATAATTTTTTTATTGTCTTTAAGTATTTTTTATTGTAATTATAATAAATAAATAACCAATATACCTATTTCTTTTTAGGTCCTCATTTTGCTTGGGTAGACATTTTGTGGAGACCAGTACTTCAGGTATTTAGCATTCATATAGCTTCAAAAGCATCTAGCAATTGTTTAAATACTGTGTTTCTCCCCTATCGATTGTATGTGCAGTTTTCTAAAGCCAAAATAGCATTAAACTCCCATATTTGTTCCAACATATAATAGATATTGAAAGAAGATCCACGTCTGAAAGTTTGGGAACCAATTTATAAAATTCAACTAGAGATTTCTTATCTTTTTTCTTAGTAATAGGATTCTCCTACCAAGAATGCAAAAAAAGACATAAAAAATTCAATAAACATAAAAAATTCAATAAGCACTTTTCTAAGATGGAAAGTATAAAAATTGAACAATTCAAGAAAATCAAATTTCAAACTAAGCCATGATATTAATAATCCAATGCACAATGAGAAAAAGATGCCTCAATCTATTGGAATAAATGAAAAAAAAAAAAAGAATAATCATACTACTATAGCTGCTCAGAAATTTCTTCATATCAAAAGACTGTGAAAGGGCTCTCGTCATTATCAATAGCAACACCAAACATCTTATTGCCATTATGAACAAGTAGTAGAGTTTCACATCCCGACCATTATGCCTAAAAGAAAATCAATAGTAACACAGTAGAGCAAAGTAAGTTGATAAATTTATTTTAATCTAATAAATATAAATATTTCCAATAATGATAATCATCAATTAAAAAAAAAACATCACAACATCTAAATCCAATAACATCTACTAATTTCCTTATCAAAATACAAATAAAATTTATCTATTGCTATAACTCACCTAAGGAATAAATCACAATTAAATCAATTAAATAACTTACAATCTTAATTACCTTCTCTGCATACCTCAAGTATGGTGCATTTTGTATTAAGATGAATTTAAAATATTAATTTTATAGTAAAATTAATATACTTTTAAAATATTATATATATCATTAATTCCAATATAAATTATAAATATTTATCTTGACATAAAGTGAGTGGGGATCTTATTCTTATCTATTTTCAAAAAATTAAATGCCCTTGACAACACATATTTTTGAGTCCTTTATCCCCAAATTAAAAAACAAAACGTTGCTTCCGCGCCATGGCCTCAACTAGCCACATCTCTCATAGCAACCACTGCTCTCATTTCCGGTCTCACAATGGATCGCCTTTAACGCCAACCTGTCCCTGATTTGATTTCTTCACGTTGTCACTGCCTGCTTGTCATACTGCTATTGCACTGCCGACAGTAGCAGCTCCTTCAAAAACGATGGATAGTGAGATTCCTCTCAAGAAATTTTTTTATCGGTTCATTTAGGTTTGTATTTTATCCCCTCTCATAATCTCCAACAATGTTTTAGAGTTTGATTATTTTCATTCTATTTAAATTACCGGCACACATAGAATTTTATCAAAATCAAATGGCTTGCAAAATTAACGAGTCACATGACCATTGATTTATGCTTTTCGATAGCTTTTTGCTTTGATTCACTTTGTTAGTTAGTGTAGGAATTCTTTATAATGTCTAAAAGTTTTTGTTTGAGTAGATCTAAAACTGAATTCATGGAGTGTAATTTTACCAGTAATAGATCTAGTATTAGAAATGACATTTCTTTATTAGATTTAAATGAGAATTTAACTCTTAATTGAACACAATGAAAAAAAAAAAAGAATTCATGTAGCCACCCCATGTAGTGGAATAAAGGCTTGATGTTGTTGTTGCTGCTACTATATAATGTGCACCATTAAACTACTTTAATATCTAATAATCTCTGACTTCTAGGTTAGACTATTTTTTTGTATAATGTTTATGATTTTTATGATATCTACTTTAATATCTAATAATCTCTGACTTCTAGGTTAGACATTTTTTTTTTAAAATGTTTATGATTTTTATGATATAATAAATATTGTCGCTATGCCTTTCATTGACCATAATTATGTTCTATACTTTGCTAGTTATATTTTTGCTAGTAGGCTTCACCTAACTCACAGTAGATGCACGACTGAAAGATCAAAAGCTGAAAGCCGTTCTTGAGAAGACAACAATCAGCAAATTATGCATTCTTTCAAGATTTAGAAAAGAGTAATCATGTTCTTTTCTTCTTTTTTTTTTTCAAATTTAAAATGTGGGAGAAGAATATCATTCTAATCATAGCTCACTTTCAAAAGATAACCTGAAAGGCCTTCAAAAGACAACCTAAAAGGCCCATTACACAGTCCAAATCGGAGAAAATTTATAATGGTTTCTTACTTGGCTTTAGGAAAGAAATAGCAATCAATCTCTTCTCGACACAAAATCTTGTGATATATATAATTCAGCCATATATTTGGGAAAATAAAATCAAGAGAATGCCAAGAGGAACAAAAGTTAGGGATGTTTTAATCCTCAAGAAACACTCATTTCAGATTTCAAATAAACATAAAATCTCAAATGATCAACTCCAGTCATCCAGATTCAAACAAATACATATAAGGAAGTAGTAAGAAGAAGAAGAAGAAGAAGAAGAAGAAGAAGAAGAAGATGGAGAAAGAGCAAGAAGATAAAGAAGAGGAAGAGGGTTTACCATTTCCTGTTGTTCTGGGCTTAGCTAATCGGATAAGAAGGAAGGCACAGACGGGGTTAGGACCAGCGGCAAGCTTCTGCGTACCTTAGGATTGGACGTGAGGATGGGGAAACGCAGGAATGAAAGAGAGGGATTAGCTTCGCACAGTAGGAGGCGAACACAGCGGGTATTTCACGAACTGCAAGGATAAGACCCAAAAATCTTAGGGAAAATTTTAAGACTAAGCATGATTATAAATTATATTAAGAGCTTAAGCATGTTTTAAAAAAAAATTTAAAAATAGGCAAAGTCGCCCGTTAAAAGGGCGACTTATGCTTTGACTAGAATAGTCAAGATCCGACGTGGTGATGATGTGGCGAGATCGAAGATCGTTTAACGGGCGACTTTAGGCTAATACTTTAATACCCAAAATCCTTCCCGTGCTTCCCCGTAATCGTGTGAAAATGTGCCTGAACTGACCCTTCGAAGACTTCAAAATTACTCATCGAGGCTTAGGCTTAAACTAAAACATTTAAGTTCGAGTCTTTTGTTTATCTTAAATGATCTAAATATTAAAAAAAAATAATACCGCCCAATCTTTTTTAATGTTGTCATTAAATATAGCATTTTAAAAGATATTAGATTGTTGATTTAAATTAAAAAAAAATTAACTCAACGAATTTTATTTAAATTAAATTATGATAGCTCCATTTGATCAATTTAACCCCGTTAATGTTGATTTAATTTTGATGGATTCGAGATCAGTTAATTTGGATTAATCGAAGCCGTTGTTTTTAAATTAAACTTATTCGAGTCAATTTTACTTGGAGTAGTGTCGACTTGCATCGATTTGCGTCGATCGACATTGATTTTATTTTGATCGCCTCAAAACATCTTGATTCAGTTTGAATTGCATCCAAATTGAGTAACTTTGATTTAATGAATGTCAATTTAATTAAATTGAGCCTGAATAATGTGGAATTTTATGAATTTAGTTTGGAGTCGTTTTGAATGACTTAATCTGACATCCAATTAATTCCAATTAGCCCGAAATAGGTTATGTAGCTTCTATTGAACGTGTCAAGTTCAAATTGGACTTGAATTGAACAAATCAACTCAATGGCATTCGATTTCACTATTACGTTCGAATAAATTTGGGTCAAATCAAAACTAATTTTTGTTGAACTACAAGGCCAAGACAATGCTACGTCATTGAGCAACCACATAAGGGGAATTCTACCAGTTGATATGTCTGGCCCGTCTATTTTTTTTTTTTTTTAACATAAAAATATTTTATTTATGATTTAAAATATAACTCTTTAAATCATATAAAATGGGTATATTAAAATAAGCATGTACATATATTACTTTAAAATTAGTATTAGACTTGGAAAGTAAATTTTTGAGAAAAAAAAAAAAAAAAAAGATATGCTTACTAATTTTATGGATGAAAAAATTAAAACCTAGAAAACTTGATTTGAGATCCTGAACTAGTATTTCTTCCAAAAATTTAATTTTTTAGAAAAAATATAAGGTGAAAAATAAAAGAACATCAAAGAAAAATTTTGGGGAAAGATTAAAGAACTAAATATGGTTATATAGGTTTATTACTTTTAATTACCTACAATAAAGTTGTTCAAGTTAATATTATTTTATCAAATATTTCAAAATGGATACATATGTATATTTTATAGAAATAGAACATGAGGATTATTAGGATAGCAGCTTAGCTATAGACATATAGCTTATACTTATGACCAATCAGTCGTTTACAGGTGTACTAAATCTATACTCTATTCACCTATATATACTAGACATTGTACCTACTAAAGATTTGAATAATACAATATTATTTATGCCTTTCCGTTTCTTCTTCTTCGTCTCCGGCAGCTGTTCTTGACCGAAGACTCTTGCCTTACAGTTTCTACATGGTATCAGGCCTCTCTTTTCTCCGTTCTCTCTAAAATGGCGACCTCCCACTCGGCTTCTTCCTCCACCACCGAGCAGCCTTCCATCATTCCGGTCGAAAGCTCTCCAATCTCACATTCACTCAAATTTGTTGTCTCTAATCTCAAGACCCTCATCCCAAATCAACTTTCCTCCGACAACTATCCGATTTGGCGCCATCAGATCCTCAAGCTCCTTCGCGCAAACGACTTCGATCAATTTCTTGCTCCACCTAGTCACTCCACAGACTCGTCCGATCCATCTGTGGCGTCATCACTCAAGAACTGGCGTATTACAGATCAGAATCTTCAGGCGGCGCTCTGTTCGACGATCTCTCTGACAGTGCTGCCCTACATCCTACATCTTGATACCACTCACGATATTTGGCAAGTTCTTGAAAGGCAATTTTAGGAAACAAGCAGATCTAAGGTGATTCAGCTTAAAAACGAGCTTCATCATGTCTCCATGAAAAATCTCTCGATGATCCAGTACTTGACCAAGATCAAGAAACTCGTCGATCAAATTGCATCCGCCGTCTCCACCATAGATTTCGAAGATATCATACTCTACATCTTGAACGGCCTGCCTCTGGCGTACCAATCGTTCAAGACGTACATCCGCAACTCACCCTCTCCTATTCATCTTGAAAATCTATACGTGATGCTCATTAGAGAAGAAATTCACATCAACGCCGACGCCACCCGCAGCTCCCATGACACGTTGCAACAGGCCGCTCTGTATGCAAGCAGGGTACGCGGACGCCAGACCAGAGGTCGCTCTATGCACGCTCAAAACCCCAACGTCCGTTCTGGACAACAGAACCAGCAAGCACCCACCTGCCAGATTTTCTCCAAGAAAGGACACACGGCCGACGTTTGCTGGCACCGTATGAACGCAAACTATACTCCGCAAACGAATACACCCAAACAAATCAATGCTCTGGTGGCAAACTCCGATGCTCCATCGTATGACTGGTACCTCGACTCAGGGGCCTCGTCGCACATGACAAATGTGGCAAACAACCTATCTCAATCCACTCCCTACCCTGGGTCCGACGGCGTCTTCATCGGGATGGAAGAAACATTCCCATTGCTCACTCGGGCACGGGCATTCTTTCCACCCCGAATCGTAAGCTTCGTTTATCAAACTTACTTCACGTTCCTGACATATCCCATAATCTAATATATATTTCTCATCTCGTTAAAGATAACAACATTTCGATTACTTTTGACCCCATGGTTTTCATTTTTAAGGATATGACGACAAATTAACAGCTTCTACGAGTTCCATGTAGCGTCGGCCTCTACAAGATCTTGCCGACGGACACAGCAAAGCATCACAAATCCGCTTTTCAAGCTTCCAAGAACTCGACCTCAATGTGGCACGACCGGCTTGGACATCCTCATCTCTGGACTCTGCAACGAATTTCTCAAAGCAATCCTACTTTACATATTAAGCATTCTGCTGATCCTTGTATTACATGTATTCAATGTAAAACTCACAAGCTCCCATTTGAATCCTCTAATTCCAGAACACACACACCTCTTGAAATATTGCACTCAGACGTATGGGGATCGTCTCCAATTTCCTCCATTCAGGGCTTTCATTTTTTCGTTATATTCATAGATGATTACTCCCGTTATACATGGATTTTTCCCATTATGCATAAGTCCAATGTTACCAATGTGTTTATGCATTTTACCAAATTTATTGAAAATCAAATGAATTGCAAGATTAAAACTATCAGGACTGACGGCGGGAAAGAGTTCATGAATCACCAGATGCAAGCCTTTCTTGTTTCCAAAGGCATACGGCATCAATCATCTTGTCCCTACACCCCTGAACAAAATGGGGTGGCTAAACGTAAAAATTGTCACATTGCAGAAACACTCAGATTTCTCATTCACAAAGCCTCGGTCTCGCCCCAATATTGGCCCGAAGCCAGCTCCACGGCAGTCTATCTGATCAACCGGATGCCCTCTCCGAGTACTTATAACAAGTCACCACTGCAACTAATGTTCCACATCACACCCGATTACAAACACCTCAGGACAATTGGGTGTGAATGATTTCTGTTTCTACCCCAGCACACGCGTACAAAACTTCAACCAAAATCCAGCTCCTTCGTCTTCATGGGATACTCGGACAGTCACAAGGACTACAAATGCCTTAACAGGGATTCCAACAAACTATTCATCTCTCGCCATGTTACTTTTCTTGAAAATTCCTTTCCCTTTAATAAAATGTATTCTACTTCCCGGAAACCTGTCACGAATATCCCCCCCCCGCCCTCTATGCTTCTACCCGCGTCCAAAGCTTTGGAATTCAGACTACAGTCTACCAACCTACCGCAATCCATCACTGAAGCACCCTGTTCCATGCCACAACAGAACGCATCACCTAGCCACAACAACTCTACGGATCATCCAGCTCCGGCAACCAGTCCACAACCAACCATACCGGCACCAAAACAGCACATGATCACCAGGACGCAAACTGGCTCTTTAAAACCATTGAGACGTTTTAACCTTCTTGCCAACGGCTCCCTCAGTTTTGATCCTGATCCTAATCCCACTAGTTTCAAAGAAGCAACCAAACAGCACGAATGGCGGCAGGCCATGGCAGAGGAGTTTATAGCCCTTCAAAAATAGGGCACGTGGTGCCTTGTACCACCTCCTCCCAATGCACAAGTTCTAGGCTGTAAATGAACCTTCTGAAAGAAATTCAACTCGGACGGCTCGGTTGCCCAATTCAAAGTGCGCTTCGTGGCTCAGGGAAACCAGCAGGAATACGGTATAGACTATGGCGAGACGTTTAGTCCGGTGGCCAAGCTTCCCACCATCAGAGTCTTATTTACGATCGCTCTATCTCAAGGCTGGACGGTGCAGCAGTTGGACGTCTCCAATGCGTTTCTCCACAGCCAACTCACTGACACTATCTACATGGCTCAACCGCACGGATTCACTGACAACAATCATTCGGATCATGTCTGCTGGCTATGCAAATCCATATATGGATTACGACAGGCGCCGCACCAATGTTATACAACATTCATGAATTATCTCGTCCAGATTGATTTTGAATACAACAAAGCGGACCCGTCTCTGCTCACTCTTCGCCAAGATCAGACTCACATTTTCCTCTTGGTCTATGTCGACGACATTCTCATTACTGGCAACAATGAGGAAGCCATCTCCAACGTCCTATCAAAACTGCATTCGACCTTCAACATGAAGAACCTTGGCCCGGCTCATCATTTCCTTGGAATCAAGATCCAA